GTCACTGTTATGAGGATTTTCAATGGCATATGTACATAATCGTCTTGTTCCTGAAAATGGTGGACAGGGTGGAACATTTCATCAAGTCACTGAATAATAAGTATATGCACGATGTTTAAAATCTAACTCTCAACATATCTTAGTTTTCCCTTCCAAATCAGAAGAAAAGGAAATCACTTTTGACCTTAAAAAACAGTGATAATGACAACAATCTCGGTGGTCCTAATTCACAAATACATTGGTTGTTCGGACCTTTCCATTGATGCTGATGACTGCAATTGATTAGTAACCAATGTTCTTATATTATCAACTTTCTAAAATGCAACGCACGAGAGAGCTCGTATATGTAATAGTAAACAACATAAAACGGACACACCAAAACATGGCATCAGTCCTTGAAGTCACTAACTTCTAGTCTGAGCCATGTTGGTAGATGCAGAGTACTTGGTTGAGGCCCGTGCGACTATCATAACCAATAGTTGGAGACTCTGGGTGCTATAGTTTATAATTGATCACAATGGCGTAGGTGTATACAGTCTTTTTCTTTCCTTAAACCGTGAGATTAAAATTATTTTATACCTTTCTTTCTATGAACTAATCCACTTACCTTGTATAATATCCTTATATGCAATCCTTCTTTTATATATTACTACCATTGAAGTAACTACTTCTATGAATTCGGTCTTCATCTTGTTGTGCTAATGAGGTGTGAAAACTTGGACCGATGCATATATCTGCCTGTCCCTACGTTGTAGCTGACCGACTGACTGAGCTGTATACGGTCCCTCTTTTATCTCTGAAACTCATTACTTTAAATTAACAAGCTATAGGTGAGTCACCAGCTGCATATTATTTATTTGTGATGTAACTTTAAATGAAATAATTCGCAAACTAGATTTAATGGAAATACTGAATTTCAATGACTGAACTCCACGAACTAACTGTTCTGTGAAATGGTTAGATAACAACAGGAAATGTGAATCTTGTTTCCCTTTAGTCTATCTGTTATATCTAGTTATTGTTTAAACTATTATTATTACTACTATTAACTGTAATTTTCCCTACCCAAATTTCTGTCAGTTTGTGAACGATGTAGATAACAGAGGGTAGTTAATTTGAAATAAATCTCATAAATTTATCTTCATTATTAATCATCAGTGTGTCTTTATTGCACAAGGTTTTCAAAAATTGATGTCAAGACTTATTGCTTTGCTACTTTTCCGGTTCTAAAAGTGTTATATTATTACAGTTTCGTAAAAAATTTCGGATGGCATTTGAAAACACTTATACTCTTGCTACGCTATAAAGGGGAAGAGATTATTACGTTTTATCAAGGCATCTCCTGGCTCACAAGACTTGGATTACTTATTTGAGCAGCAAACCCTTGACAACCTCAATCAAATGACGCAGCTGCTTCCTAATTATCAAACGTTATTAAACAAATGGACAAATATTACGAGCAGAGATGGACTGTGGAAAGCGATGGAAACCCGAACATGCGTTTCGTTCTATTAAAGACTTGTTAGCTGGAGTCGTTTTTCACTATGAGACTTGAATCAGTACTGTTCACTTTAAACGCTATCAATTGTATTCCTTAACGTTAACCTGAAGATTCAAGCGACCAATGCAAGTGAATTAAACTTTACCTCATTACACAAACCAGTGGCTATCTGGACTCGGTAGCTAAATCGATAACATCAAATCTGTTCAAGTGAACGGTACCGATTCGAATCTCAGAGCAAACAACAACTCTGGGATGCAGGTAAATGTAGATAATGAATCTCAAATAGAACGGATCATGCGTCCTAAATTTCGTTGCCAGCCATCATCCATCTCAGCTTATAATCCATATGACTTTAGGCAATATCGAGGTAATCCTCACTGAATCCATATATGTAAAAACAGACTGATCAGTTTCAGTCCTAAATATCGATAAGAAGATTTAAACAATCAATACTAATGAAATTATTTTATCATTCAGATTAGTATTTCAATGATCAATCAATGATCACAATATAATGATTGTACATTTACAAAATTACATCATATAATCACTGTAAATCATCAACAAAATTCATTTGAAACGTTTTGTCAGTTTCATAATGACGAATTACTTATATTTAATCATTTCAATAATGTTTAATAATTGTACAGTGTGAGAATGAAATGAAATAATAATAAAAACAAATTAACATAATTAGTTATTGTTGAATAGTCTAATTTGATTAACCACTAATTTTAATATAAGTAATATAAACAGTTATTTTGATGATCACTGTTACTATTATGATCAATGTTGATAAAAAAAATATTGTAGTTGAATTCATGAGTCAATTGAAGCTATAGATCACCATGGAAAACCTGGAAGAACTGGATGGCGGTTTTGTCCTATCGTGGGACTCCTCAGCAGTGCGTATCCACTATCCCACCTCACGAGATTCGACTACAGTCTCGCGTGCGAGAGTGATAGGTTCTGGGTTCTAACCTTGCGAGGTGGGATAGTAGATGGACATTGTTGAGGAGTTCCATACTTATGGGTTTTCTATGGTGGTCTAGCTTCAATCGACTCATGATCTCAACTATTAAAAAAACCCTTCTGAAAAATATTAGATAATTTCAAATACTATCAAATATTACGTAATAAACGAATCATTATCAACGCCAATGTTATGAGTAATGTAATTTTTTTTTTAATATTTGCATCAACTATAGTCTACTAATCATACTGAAAACACTTCATATCATTGTATACATGTGAATGAATGTGTTGTAAGTGATTACCGGTAGTTTATTAAACTTATTATGTAAGTAATTCATTTGGAATTGTTTGATGAATGAAAACAGTATTTTGTAAACCGAGGGAACTAATAGGAGGCCCCATCCCACTCAAATAGCAGAAATCAAACACTATTTAATTATTCCATTCATAGTGAATTCGAATAAGTTAACTAATCAGGAAAGAACCTTACACGAGTTTAGTCGTAAACCATTTATTATTTTTAATGTCTTGATTGACCTGTACTGTTTAATAATGTTAACCAAGACTAAAACTTTCTTTGTCTTGGACATATAGAGTTGTAGTCACGATTCTATGATACTATACATTTTTATCTATAAGTGAAATCGCTTTCATTGTATGACTGATCCTCCATAACCGGAATGAATGACTTTTATGAATACCTAGTTATCTATATGAGTACTTTCAACGGTAAATATCATATGACTAATGTTAATAATGAAACTTTCTATCATTTGATTTGATTTTAAGACTTAACAGACAGTTCTCAAAATCTCGATATGGTTATCTGTATAATCCCTTGATTAGAGTGTAAGGGAACTGAAATCTATTATCATCAAGTTAGCTAACAAATCAAAACAATGAATTCTGTAAAACTGAATCCAAAAATATAACAATTACTTTCTGGTTTAAGTTTATGATTCAGTCGATAAACGTTAACTTTTGACTCTATCACTGATAGTAATATTCATTACATACTAGATAATAATTCAGGCAGTGAATTAAAATTATTCAGCCTACATTTATATAGATATCATTTTAATTATTATTTTTCTTATGATATATGAAACGTTTCCACCTCGTCACCACATGTCATAGTAAGCTACCTTTGTTCCCCAGATCATCTGTTGTCATTAACCCGGTAAAAATAGTTAAAAGAATAATGAAGCACACCCTAGTAATAATTATCATATGAGTTCCTAATGGTTGCTTATGTATCACTATAAATTCAAAAACATCGTAATCCTCAGTCCAAAATTCTTATATCATTGAAACACTTCATCAGTCTGATGGTTTATGAATGACTCTTCTTCGGGTTTTATGGAGTATACAGTTGGGATATATATGTACCAAATAATGCTATAATACATTCTTACCTACAATTAAGTAATGACAAACACACTTGCATAAAATATTAACCCATTCACGTCAAACACAACAATCCATACCTTCATTAATTTTTATTGTTACAGAAATATTCAATACGTCATTTATTCTCACCCATTGAACTACTTTGTACTTGACAAGCCTACAATAATATCATTTGCAGCCTATTAAGCATAATGGCTCCAAATTAATTATTGAATTTAATTTTTATTTATTTAAACATATAAATATTGATACAAAGATGTACCAGATATATATGTGCCATACAAATCTTATTTGATTTATATGAGGGCTGTGATACTGCCCAGGTGCACAAACAGAAGCAGGTGGTTTCCTTAGGGGGCCACACCCGGAACCTTTGACCTAAAGATCTGATCCACAAGGCAGTGGAGCATCGTAAGGAGATGCAGTTCCATGGTATCCGATGACCAACAATTGATTCATACGCCATTTGTTCCCTCATGATACTGGAGCCCATGTGCACCATTGATTTGGAATGAGGGTTTTCCAACTCCTCTAGGTGGACTTTCCTTGTCCACTGACCCGGTTAAAGCGCCGGACATTCGCTTTTCGTCCTCTCAATTTCGTAAACAACACCCCCGCCACGAGAAGGCGGATGAATCTAATTCTATACATATTCAAAAATAAAAGTCTATTTCGTCTAGTAAGTGAAATAAACGAAGGTGAAATCTAATTTTAGAAATTCTGATGAAATCACTTCTTCTTTTTTTACACACCTAAATACCATTCAAACTCAGTCAGTATTCATTATCTGTTCAAATGATATCACTATAAAGTATAAAAATTATTAATAAATTTCACTATATAAAACAATAATAACCTCAAAGATGGATAGTGGTAAGCATTGGAATCTAGGATACGCGTTTCGTTCTATTTCGGACTCGTCGGTTAGATGTATCCATCTTTGCTTATAATGATTGTGAATTAAAGCTATATCGAGTCAATACGCACAGTATGCATATATGTCAATAAGAGACTGAACAATTACAGTCCTAAACATCAATGGGAGAGATTCAAAACAAACAATACCAAATGAAATCATAAACTTATATTTAATTTTAAAACTATCACTTACGATTATTTACATGCTTCCATTCATCACATAAATATAATCCATTAAATAGAATAACAATAATAATAAATAGATGAATGATGAATGGAATAATCTCAATGTTCATTATTATTATTATTATGTATGATCATCTGATTGTAATCATTCAACGTTGAAACAGATCTTTATCATGTTCATAAAGGGTAATGTAACAAAGATCTCGTTCTGTTTATTGCATTAGTATTATGGTTCAATGAATGTTTGTTATAAACCAGAAAGTAAAAATTAAAATTTGAATTAGTCTACATTTATTTAACTGAATTCATTAGTACCAATAAACAACCTTGTAAAATAACAATCTTTCGAAAATTAAAAAAAAAAGAGAACAAAGTAAAGATATTTTATACATGTCTGTACAAACATGAATTACTTTAATATGGATACTATTTGTATCTATATTAAAAATCTTATTGTCCGTATTGAATATATACGCACTAGAGACACATCTAATTATCACTAAACTATATACAACTATATATGAATACAACTAAACAACTATGTAAATACATGCACTGCAACGAACAACAACGACGACACCAAAAAAGGCACATATTTCACTATGTCATTTATTTGTAAATCTTGAACCAACCATTTCAAATAATGATGTACATTGTTCTTAATAATGAACGAAAGGATTGATGAACGGGGTCAATGGATATATACTAGGCTGGAAAAAGAAATGCATACTAACTCAAAAGAAGAGATGAGTAAGTTTTCGTTTTTTTTTTTAATATTTTTTTATTACACAAGATCATACATGTATACTATAAGTTGACGCCAATAATTGACTAGAATGAAAGAGTTTATAGTTATACTTTCAATGAAAATTATTTTAACTTTCTTATCTTCATTTCCTGTAAATGAGTTGTCAATCAAAATGTATTGAATTTTTTTTCAAGTTCATCGTTTTTTAATATTCAAAATTGGAAAAATAAGTAAGCCTAATAGACAACAATATATATATATATATATATATATATATATATATATGAGATGATGGTGGCTAGTAGTGGAATCCAGGACGCATGTTTCGTCCTATTTGGGATTCGTCAGCTGGATGTACCTGCATCCTAGAGTTGATATTCTCTCCGTGACTCGAATCTAGTACCGTTCACTTCAGATGCCATCTTGTTATCGACTTAGCTACTGAGTCTAAATAGCTATTAACTTGTTCAATGGACTGATCACTTGCAGTCCTAAACATCAATAGAAAAATTAAAGCAACCAATACTAATAACTACACTTGAAGTGTATAAATGAACAAATGAACATTAATTTATATGCCGATTTTTGCTCATATTTACACATATATACAAAATGGCTTACATTGTTTAAATAATAAACGGTCCTCAAGACTATTTTATTATCACAAAAGAATAAACGGCTGATGCTGGGCATCAAAACTATTAAATCACAGTAATTTATAAAGTCCACTGAATAAAGATTGAAGAGATAAAACTTTAATCGTTAAAAACCATTAACATTAGTAATAGTTATGGAATTATATCAATCATTGAGTGATTAAACAAAGATGTCAATTTAATAAACTATTTTTCTGTCAAACATTTGGTACTCTAATATAATTTTTGTTTTATTTGCATACAATATTGAGACTAAGATTATCCTTCACATCTTTAATGTTTAAGTAACATTCTATATACATACTATATTCAGTACTTTTAGCCATCTTTTATTTCATCTAGTGAGTGAGTGGTGCACATTAAGGTGTAATTCCTATTAAAAATTTGGTTCCATGAGTTGAAAGGTGTGCATAAATATCTGGTGTAAATGTATCAGTGTAGAGTATCACAACATACAGGATGAAAAGCGAAAATCTATTGAACCTAAAGGCTTAAAAAAGTCTTTTATAGAGATCACACTACTGTGCATCACTCAACCATTAAATGAAAGGCAAATTAAGCAAAAGTAATCCATATAACATATTACTTGAACACTGAAACAGTGATAAGTAATCTCGGTTAGATATCAACTTAATGAACCACTGATAAACAAGTCAGTTATTCAAGTTATTGTTAAGTTTAGTTAAGAGAAAACTAAGATTTTACTCATTATTAATGTTATATAACTCACTGGGAAGAAATTTTAATGATTAAATGTTTCAATCTCGATAAAACTAAGTCAACAATGGAATCGACTACATAAAATTATCTTTGATTATCTAAATACAAGTGAATGAATTTACTGGTAGTGTAGTGAACACAAACACTAGTTGGGACAATCGAATGTATTTCAATACAAAATTACAGAATATCTTTGTAAAATCTGAAATGCAAACTGTAAATACTTCATTTGAAAAATATCAAACAAACTTGACTGTTTCTTTGCAAATGTTAATCAGTTGTCTCAGACTTCACTGTTCCTTCATCTCCATACCAATTGCTTTCTGTTTCTCTTCTATTCCTGGCTAACGATACATACTACTTATGTCGATATAAGTAGCACACATCACAGTAGTAAGGAATGAGTAAAAGAGAAAATAGTACTTTTATTTACATTTTTCTGAATCTGTATTTTAGTCTTTTGGTTTAATATGGTGATAATTTATACTTTAAATAGGTGAATCAGAAGAATTCGTCATGAATATAGCTCTTAATTTTGTTGTTATGTTTTCTTTTATTACGAACAGTGGTAATTATTCCATCATTTAGTGATATTTTATTTATTTATTTAAACACATAAATATTGGTACAAAGGGGCACCAGATATACTTGCACCACACAAATATCATTTGATTTGTGTGAGGGCTTTGATACTGCCCTGGTGCCCAAACTGGAGCAGATGGTTTTCTTAGGGAGCCACAACCGGAGCATTTGACCTAAAGGTCCAAGCCACAAGGCAGTGGAGCATCATGAGGAGATGCAGTCCCATGGTAGCCGGTGACCGACGATTGATTCATATGCCGTTTGTTCCACAGGATACTCGAGCCCATGTGCAGTATTGGTTTTGAATCAGGGTTTTCCAACTCCCTTAGGTGGACTTTCCGTGTCCACCGACCCGATTAAAGCATTGGACATCCGCTTTTCGTCCTCTCGATTTCGTGAACAACACCCGTGGTGCGAGAAGGGAGTGAGTAGGACTTGTGTGGCTGAGGCTATATATGCGTGGCTATGTGACAGAGAGAGCGGACTATCCCCACTCTCTGCCGTATCAGGGCATCCATTCTTCTATGATTAGTTTTAACGACAATGATGAAATGCTCAGGAATTATACCTATCTGATAGTTGTTACATATTTTTTTTAAAAGAAATCAACTAAAATCATTTACCCATTAACCTATCCTAGTGATTCTTAAACTGTATCAACTTTTACTTCTGTAACTAAAATATGTAACATGACTTGATCTTTATGGAACCTTATTGCGATTTAAACCTGTACCTTTTTTTAAACTATTAGGTCCTGTTACCAATTGGTCACATCACAAAGGATGTGAGGATGATTGAACAGAGATATATTGTTTTTTTTTATTTTATTGTATTATTAGATACTCGGATTGTTGTATTTTTATATTGTTTTATTTAATTTATTAAATGACAATATGCTGTTTACCATGCCTAAAGTATTGTTAATTAATTATTCCCCTGTTACTCAGTTTATATATCACTTATGGCTCAATTGTATACACGTTTTTATTTCTTATCTATGTTAGTGTATGGTTAGGTAATTAATACATATTATCACATGAGCTTAGAGTTAAAACAACAAAAAGATTTACTGTCTAGCTTCATCTTCTAATTGGGTGTTGAGTTTGGAGCTTTTGAATTAGTAATAGTTATGATTCCTCTGTTGTCGTTCATAGTCATTGTGCCATGGTAGAATAAGCTTTTGGTATGGTTAGTTATAAATGCAAACTAAATACATGGCGTAACAAGTCAATAAAGGATTCGATAAACAACTGCTACTTTTATCAAATGGTCTGATGACGCGGCAACTAACAACAATAAAAAGATTTATTTATTGGTTTACACCACAGTTGATTAGTTATTTTGGGATTACGTATGCAAAATAATTTAAAGGTGTATTGCAGATTTTATGTTCTTGCATAGTGGACATAGAATTCGTTTCGAATTAGAGGATTGCTTATTTCTCCACGAGATTTATGTTACATATAGAAATGAGTAATTAAGTGAAAAGCATGGAACTGAATACGATGGATCAAAAGAAACTTGCCGTTATACTATTAATACAACGATAACCTTCCTTAATAAAATAATTCATGTATTTATACTTTATAATCAAACTTCCTTTTAAAAACTTGTGGCTTTTATTTTCAAAAGCATTCCATTTATACATATCATCGATATGTATAGCTATAAGTGAATATATTACTTACTAGTTTAGTTAAATACGACTTGTACTTAACTTATATCACTATCTTTAGTAACTTTCTCCATACTTTCGATATGTTACTATACGTTTCCTTGTTTCGGTCATTTTCATCCAGTTTACTTGTATATTCAGTCATTTTTTAATAACACTAATTGACGTAGTGATTTCTAGCTAATTCAGTAAATTATATCAAAGTAATTAAGCTGTAGATTTCCTTATATGTCCTAAATGCAACTGGATATTTTACTGTGTCTATAAATAAAATAATGTCATCTGAAGTTAGTAAATTCTATCAAATCTCATTGATCAAGAAAAAAAGACAATCTTATTGGTTCAACTATCATGGTGGTTCAAGTTCAACAAAATAAACACCGAGTCAATCAAAGAAACAGGCTTGATGAGATATGAATATCTAAAATTCGGATAAACCCCCACTTCTATTCCACTGATAATTCACCAACCGTTCTTGTAGTACATTTTGCAGATATATGAGTATATTTATCAATCCACTTATACCATTACTGAACATTATTTCACCGACTACCTTATACACTTTAGATTTTAAAATTTACTTAGTATTGTTTGTTTGAATCTTCACATCGATGTGTTAGGACTGCAACTGGTCAGTCTCTAATTGGCATATGTGCATACTGTGCGTATTGCCTCGATATAGCCTAAATTCACAAGCATGGTAAGCAAAGATGTATAGTGACTAGCAGTGGAATCCAGGACGCGCGTTTCGTTCCATTTGGGACTCGTCAGCTGGATGTACCTGCATCTCAGAGTTGATGTTCACTCTGGGACTCGAATTTAGACTATATCGAGGCAATACGCACATATGCCAATTAGAGACTGATCAGTTGCAGTCCTAAACATCAATGGGAAGATCCAAACAAACAATACTAAGTAAATTTCAACTTGACCCCATTGCACAAACAAGCGGCTATCGGGACTCAGTGGCCGAGTGGATAACTCGATGGCGTTCAAAGCGAAAGGTACTGGGTTCGAGTCCCAGAGTGAACATCAACTCAGATGCAGGTACATCCAGCTTA